TAGTAGAGATGGGGTTTCACCGTGTTGACCAGGATGGTCTCGATCTCTTGACCTCGTGATCCACCCGCCTCAGCCTCCCAAAGTGCTGGGATTACAGGCGTGAGCCACCATGCCCGGCTTCCCTTCTTTTTTTTAAAGAAAGTAAAAGAAACTAAAACAGCAATGCACCAACTCAAATCTATCGCTTGAAATAAAAAGTGACATAACAATGAAAACAGGTACCTCCATAGTAGCTACTAATTCTGTGTATATGCAATAGTAATACACTAATTAGTATGTAATAGCATACTACACTATACATAAAACAGTGCAGAGCCATGTGTTATATAACAATACCAAATGCTCCTTAACTTTACAACCCCAGCAAGGTAGATGTGTACTATTATTTTCATTTTACAGATGAGAAAACTAAAGCTATGAAAGGTTAAGTGACTTGCCTGTGGCCACACAGCTGGCAAATGCCAAGGTGAAGGCTGAGCCAGCGTCTGATTGGGAATATCCACTACACAAAGTTGTGTCTCTCATCTACCAGTGAATGTGAATATTACCGTGTAATATTCGAAGGTGATTTGCTTCAAGGACGGGACAACAATTCTCACTTACTCTGAAAATTCAGATGAATGGAACATAAAGCATGACTTTATTTATAATGACTTCCAGCATAAAGATGAATATCAGAAAATTCATATTAACTAGAATGCTACTAAAAATATTACTGGCATCCTTTAGTACTCAATAATACTAACATTTTTTTCACAGCTTAACTGAAGTGAGGAACTGTGTCTCCTAGGGACAAATACAACAATCAACTGGGAAGCTGGTAACTTACAAAGCACAATGGACACTACTTTTGGGTTTAGCTTTGTTTCCTTTCATAAAACTTATCTGTGGTGATCTCTCTCTTTACCTACCTTCCCACTCTCTGTTTGGACTCTTGGATGTGCCACATGGACTCGTAGAACTTCTGCATTCCAAATCTATCTGTTCTTGCCTCTGACGCTGCTCCTCCAGGAGTGCTGACTCATGCATTGCTTTAATGTGTCGCTGGTAGAGAGCATAGCCACTCACTGGGGTTCCAATTGGTATGTTACATGGGGTGCAGGATACCTACAGGAAGAAAATAAATCTAAATATGCCAACAACCAATGTTGTGATAACTGCCATCTATTAAAAGTAATGCTTATTTCTGTCACATTACTGGTTGAATTAATTTTATCAATTTTTAATCCAAGTAATCTTCAAGAATAATGCTTAAGGCTGGGAGCAGTGGCTCACACCTGTAATCCCAGTGCTTTGGAAGGCCGAGGCGGACAGATCACCTGAGGTCAGGAGTTCAAGACCAGCCTAACCAACATGGTGAAACTCTGTCTCTACCAAAAATACAAAAATTTAGTTGGGTGTGGTGGTGTACGCCTGTAGTCCCAGCTACTCAGGAGGCTGACACAGGAGAATAGCTTGAGCCCAAAAGGCAGAGGTTGCAGTGGGCCGAGATCACACCATTGCACTACAGCCTGGGCCACACAGTGAGACCTAGCTTTCTTTTAGAATGGATTACAATATAAATCACACAAGCTGTAATAAATCAAAAATCAGAAATTAAAACACATCTGTCTGATTCTAATTTATGGCAGCCAAGTCCCTTGTGGCTTGGTCCTAGGTCCCATCCCTCATCTCTCTTTCACCAGGGATCACATCCATTTATGTATTTCTTCTTTTTCTTGAGACACAATTTCATCGTTACCCAAGCTGCAGTGCAGTGGTGCGATCTTGACTCAATGCAACCTCCACCTCCCAGGTTTAAGCAATTCTCCTGCCTCGGGCTCCCAAGTAGCTGAGATTATAGGTGTGCAACACCACACCCAGATAATTTTTCTGTCTTTTTAGTAGAGAAGGGTTTTCATCATGTTGGCCAGGCTGGTCTAAAACTCCTGGCCTCAAGTGATCCGCTCGTCTCAGCCTCCCAAAGTGCTGGGTTTACAGGTGTGAGCCACTGTGCCCAGCAGATAACATCCATTTATGTTGATTTAAATGCCATCCATTTGTTAATGATTCACAAATTTTCTATTTCCTCAAGACACCTTCTCCAAGTTCCACACTCATATAAAATGGCCTACCTAACAACTTCACTTGGGATATCTCAAGGAAGCTCAGAATTTACAATAAGAAGGGAACTTCCCATTTTCTAAACTCCATTCTTCTTCTTCAGTTGCTCTACATTTTTCATGGAACCTCAGGTGCTTTAGCCAGAAACCTGGCAGCCATCCCTGACTAATCAATCTCCTCCTCTCCCACAACTAATTCATTCACATAGCCATTCTCTTAGGACAGATATGGACTGTTCTTAAGATAGGTCATCCATAACCATCCAATAAAACATAGTGATTCCCTCCCCATTTTCCTTCTCATTGCGGCCTGTTCATCGCTTTCACAGTACACAGCATTTACCACAGTTTGAAACTGATACTTTTCTGTCTCTGACTTTATGAAGAAAAGAACCCAAGATGTTTTATCCAATACTTAAAAAATAGCCCAGAAATCTTGAATTAATATTTAAAAAAATAGCCCAGAACACAGTCCATGATTAAATATTTCATGAATAACAAATATCACTAGTATGCCCTAGAGATCTGAAGTTTTTAGAATTTGGTAACTTAAGACTTCCATAGATTTTCCCCAGCATAAGTAGTATTATTCACTGATCCTAAAACCCCTAACTTTCTTGCCTTTGTGCTTTGTCTTACACATAAATATGGTTTCTCCTCCTTTTGCTATAAACCAAATCAGCGGTTTTGATCCAATGAAAATATTACTTCTTATGCAGGGTCTTCGTTAAGCACGAGCCAGAATTTCTTTCTTTTTTAAGGCTGATTAAGAAGATACTCCCTCTTCTCCAAAACATCCATAGTATTTTCAACCTAACAGAGCATCACATTTTAATTCATTTCAACCTTTAAGGTAATTTTTTTATGCTTTTGTTTTGTTTTGAGACAGTGTCTCGACTTTTTACCTAGGCTAGAGTGCACTGGCACCATCTCACCTCACCACAACCTCAAGCTCTCAAGCTCAAGCAATCCTCCAACCTCAACCTCCCAAACACAGGTACATGTCACCATGCCAAGCTAGGGTGGGTGGGGGGGTGTGTGTGTAGGGGTGTGTGTGTAGAAACATGGTTTCACCATGTTGCCAGGGTTGGTCTTGGAACTCCTGCGCTCAAGCAATCCACCTGCCTCGGCCTCCCAATAGTGCTGGGATTACAGGCGTAAGCCACCACGCCCAGCCTCTTTGCTTTATTATGCAGACCAGTCCCTAAATTTAGTTCAGCTGAGGAAGGGAATCAGCTGATCCTCGTCGTCTGCCACGTAATCATTTTCTTAGAAGTTGGCTCAGCCAGATTTAACCAAATGTAACTCCCACATTGAGTTTATCTATATTGAAAATCACTTATATTGGCCTATATTTGGAACAGTGATAATCTTTTGTTTTTAATAAGTTCTTACTACAAATTTTAAACAGTAGAAATTGGTTAGTTATTTGGGTAATGTTTTATTAAACTAGTAACACAGATAGGACACATTTTATTACAGATTCCTCTGAGGAGGAGTTTTTAATTGTATTTGCTACAAAATCAGGATGTAAGAAACATTAGTGTAAGAAACTAAAATATGGAAAAGAGCTTCAGCCTTCTTATACAAATCATGTATACAGACAGCCTAGTTGACTGTCCTATCTACCGCACTCAAGGTTCTCATTTTGTAGTCTCTTCCCGCTTTGTGACTATTCTTTAGCCCTACAGATTTCTAGTACTGCCCAGGAAATCTAATTTCAATACATTTATCCTAGGTTTCATGACAGTTTTTAAAGATTGGGATAAATATGTACTTATTTGCTAATGTATTATCTTTTTCAACCTAAATTTATGTGCAAAGGTTAAATATGTAACTGTTACTGTACTTAGCACTCGATAAAGCTGTGCCATTTACAGTTACTGATTCAGTTTGAAATGTAGAATGAAAAAGGTTCAATAGAATGTATCAAACAAAAAATAAATACATAAATAAATAAAATCAGAGGAGATATTTATATTCTCCACAATTCGAAGAACATTGTCTTAAACTAATCACTCAGTAAGTGTTCATTTGAATGAATCAATGAATGAATAAATGTTTAATGATCTTTTTGTAATATGTAAATAATTAACTATTTTTTGCCAATTATTATTTAAGACAGAAAACACATTTTTGAATAAAGCAAGAGCTTTAAATATTTGAATAAAGAGGACATAACTAAAGAAAAGAACAATACTCAAGATTGGAATTTAGTATCAAAAATGAGTCAAATTTATACAGATTGTCAACGTAAAATGTAAATAAAACTGACTTGAAATCTGTAGATTAAGGTAAAATATAAAAATAAACTACACTTAAAATTGTATACTAGAGCTAGCCATAATCTCTAGTCATTCTAAATTTTCAAAACCTAATTATATGCTTAATGCTACTACTGTTTTATGGCTCCTTATTGCTATGGTTACAAACAAAAACAGGACTTACTAATATTTATGGCTAGAGCATTATAATTTTTTTTTCTTAACTGGAAATGACCATTTCAACCAATCATCACAAATCATTTGAAAAATCAATGCACTAAGGATATAAATTTTGGTTATCTATAAGAGTTTAAAGTTAGACTCAGCATCTTCCTACCCTTCTCTCCCATATGTCTTAGCACTCCCTAACCCAAGCCCAGCAAAGGAGGATATAAGAAAAACCAAGGTACTAAAATCAAGGACTGACCATAGAGGTACTAGTCACAATAGTCCAGAGGTGGAAGCAACCCAAATGTCCATGAATGGATGAATGAATAAAATGTGTCATACAGATACAACGGAGTACCATTCAGCCTTTAAAAAGAAAGAAATTCTCGGACGTGCTACATATACTTAGAGGACATTATACTGAGTGAAATGAGCCTATCACAAAATGACAAATACTGTATAATTTCATTTATACAGCATAGGGTGATACAATAAAAATTATTTGGTCTCTCTTCCAAAGACTTTTCTTTGTTTCAAATCTTCAGAATTTTCAAAACAGTAAGAGTGTCTTTTGTATGCTAACAAGATGACTCCTGGCTGGGGGCATCTAGATGGCCTCAGAATAAGGGCTGGGAGCCCAAAAGACCACAAGGCATGAGGCTGGAACTTCTTTGGGGCTTGTGGTAGGATGTCTCTCACTATTTTGCCCAGGCTGGGTTTGAACTAGCAATCCTCTTGCCTCAGCCTCCCAAAAAGCTGGGAATGCAGGGTTGGGACTACAGGTGGGCATCACCATGCCCAGCAAGGGCTGGAACTTTCAGCTACACCTAGCTTACCCCACCTCCAACCCTCCAGAGAGAGGAGAGGGGCTAAAGGTTCATGTACCCGTCACCAATGGCCGATGATTTGGTCAATCACGCCTATGTGATGAGGCCTTCACAAAAACCCCAAACAATGGGGTTTAAAGAGTTTCCAGGTTGGTGAACACATGGAGATGCTGAGAGGGTGGCAGGTCTAGAGAGGGCACAGAAGCTCCACACTCCTTCTGCACACCTTGCCCAATGCATCTCTTTCATCTGGCTGTTTCTGAGTTATATCCTTTAAAAAAACAAGTAATTATAAGTAAAGTACTTGCCTAAGTCTCTGAGGCATTCTAGCAGATTATGGAACCTGAAGGGGAGAGTCGGAGGAATCTCCAATTTGGAGCCTAGTCAGGAGTGTGAGTAACCTGGATAGAACTGGCATCAGAAATGGGGGTAGCCTGTGGTACTGAGCCCTTACACTAGTGGTATTAGACAACTGTGCAGGGTAGTCAGTGTCCGAATTTAACTAAACTGTAGGAACCTAGCTGGTGTCCAAAAAGGTGGAGAATTCATTTGTGTGAGGAAAAAACCCATACATTTGGTATAGTAAGTGTTGTGGCACAAAACATTTCATTGGTATCTAAACTATGTATTAAATTCACAGAACCAGAAAGCAGAACAGTGCTTACCAGTGGCTAGAAGGAGGAGGAAGAGAGGAGCTGTTTAATTAATTTCACATTTGAAAGATGAAAAAGTCTTGGGGATCATTTTCTCAACGATATCAATATACTTAACACACTGAACACTAGTGAACTGTATACTTAGAACTGGTTACAATGATTAATTTCATGTTATGTTTTGTACCCCAATTTTTTTGTCAAGAACCAATTAAAGAAGAGAAGAAATACCTCTATAAAGGTCTCTGTTTTTCAACTTTAGTTTTCTTCCTCAAAATAAAAACTTACCATTGGTGGGATAACAGCAGCTCGATGCTGAAGCTGTGGCAGGTCCAATGGATTTGGTTTTAATGGGGATGAGACTAGTATAGATCCAGGGGGATTTAACAGTGAAGGCTTTGAGTCCATAGGAAACATTCTGCAATTGTCAATTTAAAAAAAGATAAATGAATACATTTTTAAGACTCAAACATACAATCACCATAATTTCTTATAAGTTAATATGTATATACACATGCACATATGGATACACATATATTAACCCGTATAAAATATATGGACAGTTAAGGAAAAAGGAACCTATAAAACCGATTTTCCAGATAAAGAAACTGAATATTATACTAACTTCAGCAGAACACATACTAAAATGAAATGATAAAAGATTACCATAGCCCCTGCACAAGAAAAACATGCAAATTTGCAAAGCATTTTATATTAAAAAGAAAAAAGAAACCTAATACTGACTTACAGGTTGAAATTTATCTGAATCGTCCATATCTAACCAACAAAACAATGTGAACAAAGTCCACTTAAAACTGTTCAGTCCTAATTTACCATAAACCTCATAACATGGGTTAAAAACCAGTTACCTGTTAGAGGATATTTTATTGGGAATCACAAGAGTATTTTTTTTTAATATTTGAATAAGCTGCTACAATTTCTAAATTGAAAATGTCATCCAAAATTCCAGACTTCGGCTTCTCAGAAAAAAATGGAAAGAACGAACAACATGGGATCAGCACTCACCCATAGCAGCGACCTGCCGTGCACCTAGCAGCCACTGCCCCACTCACATGAGCACACCCTCCTCTGTTCATCACAGTCCCTAGCATCTCACACTCCACTGGCTGATATTTTCAACACCTACACTCAAGTTTAGGATGCCCAATATATAAAATCGAGGAAATTTTATACTAGTGTCACGTCTTAGGAGTTTGGTCATATTTCCCAATGTTATCATGGTCACTGGGGGAAAGTGAACATTTAAAAATGTATAAATTGGTAAGAAAATTAGAATATATTTTTAAAAATTCACATACTACATAAAGAAGATATTAAAGATATACAAAATTGAAAGTGTTATTTCAATCATTTGGGAGCAGTGTAGACTTTAGGGTGTCAGTCAAAAAACATATTTTTCCATGGAATTTTTGAATTTCAAGACTACTGTCACATTCATCTCTTAGGATGTTTAACATTTAAAATTACTGTCATCCTAATTTTTCCTTCATGTATAGTTGCCAAAACCAACAGTGTAAAACACAGATAATCCTTATTTTAGATGAGATGTTTCATTAAAAAATGCTTTAAAAAGGACCACACAGCTTGAATCAATTTGTGTTTACTGCAGTTAAAGACTGACACCATTAAAATAAAATCTAGGTTACTCTGAACTGAAGGAAAAAGATAGTCAAATTTTCTGGTAAACCAATAGTTAAGCAGAACACCTGCTTTATTTCGATTCATGTTGATGAAAATTCTAGCATCTACTATATAAAACACTCTGAGAAATCAGGCACTATAGTGCTCAATATTATTCTAGTAATAAATCTCATTATGGAGTATATAAGATATAAAATACATTGGATATTAACTGAAAATACAGACACCAAGACAAACTCTGAAAGCTAAACTTTGAAGATAATTTATCTATCTGTTGAGTAGCTTGTCTCCTTTTTCTTATTAAAAAGAAAAAAAGGGCAGGGTTTAATTGGGTTCAGATTAAGTGATGTTTCAATCTAATTCACTTCTAGAATTTGCACCAATTTAACATTCTACTAAAATTATAGGTGATTCAATTTAAAGAAAAGGAAACACCAGGGAATAAAATACGTTAAATAAAGAGTTAACTATACCTGTAAAATATGTATCTTTTTATTGTGATTTTTACAAAAACCATAGATATGATGCATTTTTTTGTATAATTAATTAGCCTTTAATGACTACAAACACTTGTAAATTGCCGGACACAGTGGCTCACACTTGTAATCCCAGCACTTTGGGAGGCTGAGGTGGGCGGATCACCAGAGGTCAGAGGGTTGAGACCAGCCTGGCCAACATGGGAAACCCCATCTCTATGAAAAATACAAAAATTGGCCATGCATGGTGGCATGTGTCCCCGAGCTACTTGGGAGGCTTCAGCAGGAGAATCACTTGAACTCAGGAGGCAGAGGCTGCAATGAGCCAAGATTGCACCACCGCACTCTAGCCTGGGCAACAGAGCGAGACTCCATCACAAAAAAAAAAATAACAAACAAACAAAAACAAAAACAACAACAAAAAAAACTTGTAAATTAATCTGCATTATACCTGATATTAAATTACAAAAATGAATAATCTAAAATTTTAATGGATACAAAAAATGGTCATAATTATCATTAAAATTATGCTTTCTAAAAATTTTCAGAACACTGAACGTGTCTTTCTTTTCAGCATTTTCTTCTATCTAACAAGTAGGGGCTAGTAGGCCTTGTTTTGAGGCTGTCTTACAGCAGCAGGAGCCCCTTAATGGCTTTAGCCTCCACCTTCATCACCACATCCCACTGCTGCCTCCTTAGGCACAACAGTTATTCACAACTTTATTAGTTGAAATTCCCTTTTTTGCTATCATACAGAATACACATAACAAGACAGATGTAGGAAAAATATATAATCTGTTTCATTAAAATGATCACGCAACTGTTTCTGGTTAAACAGAATAGTATCAGCCCAATATTAAAATCGTAGAGACTACCTGTAACTTGCCAATATTTATATAGGGGCCAAGTCTACAGCCAGTACCACCCTGTGATTCAGTCAGCAACCAGACGAGTAAGCACAGGATAGGACTTACGGAACGGGCCTCACCTCTGCCGCTCTGGCTCTCCATCCACATCCTCATCAGCACTGCACGTGGCACTGGAATCATTGTCCGACTGGGGCTCGGGCCTTTGGGCATTTATTTGCTGAGCTACCACCAAATCTTCTTCTCTAGGTTCCACCTTTTCACTGGCTCTATCCAAGTCTCTTTCTTTGGTATTATCACCTTCAACTTTAGATGCATGGTTTTCTGGCACCCTGATTTCAACATCCACAGAATCGGCTTTGGTAGCGGGTGGGGGATCAGGAACAGAACCCCCTTCGGCACTGTGCTCCTGCTGATCTACGTCCACCTGCTCTGCTGCCTCAGCACTGATGCTGTCATTCACCTGGGTCTCCACACTTTCATCTTCAGCTGGTTTTGTACTTGGAACTGCTGATGAGGGAGATGTACTGGGTGCAGTTTCCGTAGTGGGCTCAAGCTCAGCCGCAGGTTCTGTGTTTCCTCGAGAAGTACCATTTTCAGGACTGTCCTCACTGGGCTTCACAGCTTCAACTGGTGAAGGAGAAGGAGCACTTTCTGTATCAGAACTATTTTCTGCACCTTAAAGATAATGATACAGCATAAAAATCTGATAATGAACATGTTTCAGGTGGTGATAGAAACCATGCTTGAAAGTAGTTGTTTAGGATGAATTCTACTCCTTTGATGACCTCAGCGGAGTATTTACAGCCATTGAGAAGGCTAAAGTTTCCTACAGAATATAGAAGTGAAAGATCAAATTGTCTTGACCTTCTGAAACTAAAAGCATAAAGGCTTTTAATGTCTGAAAATAATTTATATGAAATTGAAAAACAAAGAAAGATAAACCTAAACAAAAAAAGTTCCTATAAATGATGACATTCTGGTGTATTTCTAGAAGCCTCTTCCTGTGAATTTCCTTTTACCCAGCTGAACTGACACTCTAGAACAGCTCTATCCAATAAGCATATAATGTAATCACATCTGTGATTTTAATTTTCCTGATGACCACATTTAAAAAGTATGAAATGGGTCAAATTAATTTAAACTATGTATATATGTGTGTATGTATTTATTTTTTTAATTTTATTTTTTGAAGATGGGCTTTTGCTCTGCTCACCCAGGCTAGAGTGCAATGGTGCAATCTAGCTCACTGCAACCTCCGCCTCCCAGGTTCAAGCAATTCTCTTCCCTCAGCCTCCTGAGTAGCTGGGATTACAGGCGTGTGCCACCATGCCCAGCTAATTTTGTAGAATTTAATTAATCCAATATGTGCAAAACGTCATTTTAACATGTAATCAATATAAAAAAAATTCATAAAAAGATTATTTTTCCCTTTTTTGGTACTAAGTCTTCCAAATCTGGTATGTATTTTATATATTCTGCATATCTAATTTTTTTTTTTTTTTTGGAGACAGAGTCTCGCTCTGTCACCAGGCTGGATTGCAATGGTGCTATCCTGGCTCACCGCAGCTTCTGTGTCCTGGGTCCACGTGATTCTTATGCCTCAGCCTCCTGAGTAGCCAGGGTTATAGGCACCTGACACCATGCCCGGCTAATTTTTATATTTTTTAGTAAAGACAGCGTTTCACCATGTTGCCTAAGCTGTTCTTAAACTCCTGACCTCCGGTAATCCGCCAGCCTTGGCCTCCCAAAGTGCTGGGATTACAGGCATGAGCCACTGCACCTGGCCTGCATATCTAAACTTAAACTAGTCAAATTTCAAGTGCTCAATAGCCACAAGTGTCTAACAGCTACCACACTGGATAGAGGCTATAGAACCTTATTGAAAGGTTCTTTCACCTACTTTTCCTTAGGTGATCAGCTCAAACATCACATGCTTAAAAAGCCTCTATGGGCTGGGTGAGTGGCTCAAGTCTGTAATCCTAGGACTTTGGGAGCTTGAGATGGTTGGATCACCTGAGGTGGGGAGTTCGAGAACAGCCTGACCAACATAGTGAAACCCTGTCTCAACTAAAAATACAAAATTAGCCAGGTGTGGCATGCCTGTGTTCCCAGCTATTTGGGAGGCTGAGGCAGGAGAATCACTTTAATCTGGGAGGTAGAGACTGCAGTGAGCCAAGATCATGCCATTGCACTCTAGCCTGGGCAACAAGAGTGAAACTCCAACTCACAAGAAAAGAAAAGAAAAGAAAGCCTTCCATGGTTTCCTTAACAAAGTTGTATTTTGCTAACATAGTTCTGATACCACATGTACTAGTTACGGTTACAATTACATTTATTTACTAGAATGATTTATTTATTAGAATGATTTCTGGTCATTTCTTCCACTAGGCTATAAACTCCATAAGAACAGAGATTATATATTTTGATTATCACTTAAGTAACAGCCTGACACACAGTAACTCAAATATTGGCTGGATTATAAAGTGCATGAATGATTGTGAGAACCTAAATAACCATTTGGAGAAAGAATTTATTTTTTAATTGTATATTACAGCAATATAAAAAAACTTCTACAAATTCATTATTTTATTCATTCAAATATGATGAAGTGTCAATTATGTATGTGCAGGGAGCTGTTTGAGGTACTGGGGACAGACCAATTTTAAAAAATCTAAGCAGATGCTCTCATGGAGCCAACCTTCTAGTGTGAAATCGACAATAAACAGTAAATATGTGATATAGGCTGGGAGTGGTGACTCACACCTATAATACCAGCACTCCGGGAAGCTAAGGCAGTAGGAGTGCCTGAGGCCAAGTGTTCAAGACCAGCCTGGGCCACATAGTAAGACCTCATCTCTACAAAAACATTTAAAAATTAGCTAGGCATGGTGGCATACACCTGTAATCCCAGTTTTTGGGAGGCTGAGGCAAGAGAATCACTTGAGCACAAGAGGTCAAGGCTTGCAGTGAGCTGTGTTTACGCCACTATGCTTCAGCACTGGGTGACAAAGTGAGACCTTGTCTCAAAACAAACAAACAAAGTGATATATGAGGTGGTGATCAGTGCAGTGACTAAAAAACAAAACTGAAAAAGAAGTAGGTGAGGAGGTATTATAGAATAAAGTGGTATTTGAACAGAGGACTCAAGGAAAGCAGGGAATGAGTTGTGGGCACACGGTGGGGAAGAGCATTCCAGGTAGAGGGATTAGAAAGCACAAAGACTCCTGAAGTAGGGGTTGGTTTGCCCAGGAACAGCAAAGAGGACAGTATGGTTGGAGCAGAGAAGGCAAACAAAAAAAGAGTGGCAGAAAGTTCACAGAGGTACAAAGATCAGTTCATGCAGAGCCTCATAAATCACAAGGGTCTTTATTCTTACTGAGATGGGAAAGTATTACAGGATTTGGACTACAGAAGAAGATTTGATTTACATTATAAGAACTAGTTGAGCTGCTATGGAAGAAAAAACAGAATGGACCTTGTCTCTACAAAAAGCAAAAAAGTACATTAGTCAAGTGTGGTGGTGCATGCCTATGGTCCCAGCTACTTGGGAGGATGAGGTGGGAAAATCACTTAAGCCTAGGAGTTCGAGGCTGCAGTGAGCCACAATCGAGCCACTGCACTCCAGCCTAGGTGACAGAGAGAGACCTCATCTGTAAAAATAAATAAATAGAATGGAATAAAAGTAGCAAGAGACTAATAAAAAAACTATTACAAGGAGGGCTCCTTAGAAGTAGGATAGGAGCTATCGAGATAAGAATCCAATTCTAAAGAGACTAAAGAAAAGCAAATTTATTGATATAGGGAAAGACTAGAGGGAAAAGCAGCTTGTGGTGATAGAGACACAAGAGTTCGCTTTGGATGTTAACTATGAGATGGCTCTTAGGAATCCAAATGGAAATACTGAGTATGTGATTAGCTATATGAGCCTGGAATCCAGATGAGAGTTCAAGTCTCCAAAATAAAACAAAAGACAGACAAGCAAATAACTCAGAACAGTACCTCACATGTAACAAGGTTTTAATATATGGCAGCCATTACTGTTTTTGAAAGATCCTACCAAAGCAATGAAAAGCTAACAAAAAGCCTGACTTAACCTTCTTTTCTATTTAGATAGTGGTACAAAGCCCCAAATCCAAGGGCAAACTAATAAGGCATTTATCTTCAAAATTTTAGAAGACATGTTGGTGATTATACAGCAGATGATATCATTTGACATAAACACTTTTCCAACTTTCTTCTTCCAAGCCACAAAAGAGTAGGAAGGTTTCCAAGGCACAATGTTTCACTAAGCAACAGCCAAACATGAGTATCTTTTTTTTTCTAAAGATACAGGGAAAAAAAAAACAACCTTAAAGAATGATGCAGAAAAAGAGAAGAGCAAATCCAAATTTTGGTGAAGCTCTGGTCTCTCTGATTTAATTATTCTAATCATGAAAGATACACAGTCAGATGTTTTTTTAGGAAGCAGACACAGGAACCCTCCCTTCAGCAGCTACCTTCATTCTTCAATTGGCAAGAGCCTTGCCACACACAATAAACAGTGCATATGTAATGTCTCATTAAGATTAGGAATAAGTATGAGATCACAGGTCACATAAACTGCATTTATGTTCTTGTCTTGACACTTTCCAAATGAAGCTAAGTCAAAAGGAGGAGAGATCCTAAAATTCTACTGGGAAATTCATTTCCTCTTAAGAGGAAACTCTTCTAGATGATTGAGCAGATGTGATGGTGCCACCCTACCCTTGACCAGAAGGACATATTAATAATGGACTTGGGCTTTGTTATGGACTCAATCGTGCCCCTCCTCACCAAAGCTCTCAGGTTGACGCCCTAACCCACAATGTAACTGTATTTGGAGACCAGGCCTTGAAGGAGGTGATTAAGGTTAAATGAGGTCATAACAGTGGGCTCTGATCCAGTAGGAGTTGTCTTCATATGAGGAAGATACACCAAGAGTGGGCACACACAAAGGAAAGGCCATGTAAGGACAAAGTAAGGAGGCGGCTGGCCATCTGCAAGCCAGGAAGACAGCCCTCATCAGAAAGCAACTGTGCCAGCACCTTGATCTGGGATGTACAGCCTTCATAACTGTGAGAAAATTACTTTCAGTTGTTGAAACCACCCAATCTGTGGTATTTTGTTATGGCAGCCTGAGGAGGTTTATTAACCTCCAGGCTTCATTAATATTTGTAACCGCAGGGAATACTAACCACCAGAAACAAACCCATTAAAACCAAGAGACTCTGACCACCTCTCTGGAAATGCCATAAACACAGCAAACTACCTTCACTGTTTGCAGCACTCTTACATTACCCTAGGGTGAGCCTGCTCTAATACTCTTACTAAAGACCACCTCATTTTTCACAAACCCTCCCAAAAAAAGCTTAGGCTTAGGGGTTGTTCAAAGCCAAAACCCATTTCAACACAAGTTTAAGTTTAAAGGCAACAAGAATAATCTATAGGAAAAAAACCCAAAATCTAGTATTAATAAACCTGGAGAATGTAGAACTTTTAAAGCTTATATAAAATAAAGACCCTACAAAGGAAAAGATATACAACTCTAATTACACAAAGTTTATGCAAAGATAATTTAAAAGCAAAACAAAAGGGAAACGAGAAGGAAAAAATTATCTGCATATACAGGAACATGTTTAATATATATGAACAGCTACTAAAAGCACTATAAAAATCCCCACATCAGAAGCAGTCAATTTACAAAAAAATCCACAGAAACTTTAATCAGATTGTAAACTGAAATAAATTAGATATCTTTTTTTTTAACCAAAATAATCAAGAAAATATTTTTTTCATGAACTTGTCATTAATTTGTTTAAATGACAAAGAGACATTATTTCTTAAATTTCCTTAGGTTTCGTGGGTTGATTATTTTTTTCTATTGTTGCTTCTAGGGTCATTAATTATTTTTACATAAAAACATTAATATAGTACATATAAATCTCTGTAAAAATATGAAAATAAACTCAAGGCAATAAAGAGAAACATAACTGATGATACTAATTGAACAAATAAATGTGACAATGACATAGACACACAGATATTTTATTGATCTTGGCACTTGATGTCTGAAGCAGGACTGCCATTTCCAAGATCTTCTGGACCATCTTAGGTGCTACATAAATATTTGTGATTAAATGAATAAAAACAGTATGTTCAAGTTTGAAGTCTCCTCACCATGAAAACACTGGCACATTGTTTCCTCAATGAAGCAATTCCTACAGAGTCAAATAACTAAAAATTATTTATTGAGGATAGCAGATGTCACAACTAAATTTAAAATTTTGAGATACCTTCACTGTCTTCTGGATTTTCTTCTTCGTTGGAGGCTTCAATATCTTCATCCTCTTGAGCAGAAACAGTGGAAGCAACACTTTCACACTGAGACACATCTCGCTCTTCACGAGGTTTTCGTGAAGCCTAAAGGAGTAAAGAGTATTATTTTAAATAACTAAAAAGGAAAAAATATAATTCATTTCTGAAGTAATGTAGAACACTGATAAATACACACATACCAGACAAGGAGGTCACACATTTCAAAACAGTTCTGGTTAAAGTGCAGACAAATATCTCTGCGTAATCACTAACTGGCCAAATTTTATGTATATGGCTCACCTTTATCAAACAGATCAAAAGTTACATCTAATCCATTTTTGGAACTACTCACCACTTTACATGTACAAACAACCAAAAATCACTCACTCTAGATAATGTATCTTTCTAATAAAAACAACATAAATATTTATTTTCTAAAGATAACATATACTACCTTTAAATGTAGAAAACATAACACTACAAAAATCACTACTCATTATTCCAATAGTAAGAGATTCTAAGTATACTGGTACATTTCCTTTCAATCCTTCAGATGCATATACATGAATATAAATATTTATGTGTACATGTAAACACAACCAGGAAAGCCCTATGTAGTTACATATTCTACTTTCTTAACATAATGTAGCCATGAACAGAACATATCACTGTTACAAATTCTTCAAAATTATTTTTATTAATGATCCCATAAAAACATTATGTTGATATAATGTGGACATACATTTTATGTTGACATATAATTAAAATTCTCCTATTTTAAGGCATTTCAGTAATTTTCAATTTATGATATAAATAATGCTGCAAGAAAGTTCCTTCACTAGCATTAAGAATTATGCAATTTTAGAGGCAACAATCATCATTGGTATTACTACTGAATTTCTTTTTACCATTCAATTTCTTTCTTTACTTTTTTTGAGACAGAGTGGTGCTCTGTCACCCAGGCTGGAGTACAGTGGTGCAATCTTAGGTCACTGCAACCTCCGCCGCCTTGGTTCGGGCAATTCTCCTGCCTCAGCCTCCCAAGTAGCTGGGACTACAGGCACACGCCACCACGCCTGGCTAATTTTTTATATTTTAGTAGAGACGGGGTTTCACCGTGTTGCCCAGGCTCGTCACAAACTCCTGAGCTCATGCAATCTGCTGGCCTCAGCCTCCCAAAGTGCTGGGATTACAGGCGTGAGTCACCATGCCTGGCCCAATTTATTTTACTGTAAAAAAAGACAAATTCAGCCAAGCACAGTGGCTCATGTCTATAATCCCAGCACTGTGGGAGGATTGCTTGAACCCAGGTGTTTGAGAGAAGCCTGGGCAAGAAAGTCAGACCCTTGATCCTATAAACAGTATTTAAAAATTAGCTGTGGGCCGGGCACGGTGGCTCAAGTCTGTAATCCCAGCACTTTGGGAGGCCGAGGCGGGTGGATCACGAGGTCAAGAGATCGAAACCATCCTGGTCAACATGGTGAAACCCCGTCTCTACTAAAAATACAAAAAAAAATTAGCTGGGCATGGTGGCACATGCCTGTAATCCCAGCTACTCAGGAGG